ACTACGGTCGTCTAATTAATAATATAATAATCTAATCTAATAAAGAATAAATACATAGCATTTATTATATCGGACAATTCAACCAAACGCAAGTTATGTACATAGATAATAATCGTTACATGTAAAAATTGAGTACTACGACAATAAAGAACATCATACAGCCATTCGCCTATATTCGGACTATATTCAGTATACCATAGGATATGTGCCCTGTGAATCTTTTTTTTTTTTTTTTTTTTTTTTGTTTATCGAAAAGACGTGACCTGAATATACGTACGTAGATGATATACAACTAATTAACTGTGTCTACTGACTACACCGCACTACTGCTCACCCTCTCGTCTACACTCTACAGCAATAATATAAGTTAATTAGTTTAAATTGACGACACAAAATAAGCAATACTAAATTCAATCAAGTAAATGAATGAATGAATCGATTCGGTTTTTACGTCGTTGACAAGTTAAACTAGACAGTGATCTCAACGAACGGAAACGTTAACAAAGTACAGAAAACATTTGTGGCCCTGAAAAGGGCCTTTTGTGTGTGTGTGTGTGATAATATTCTTCTTCTCCTCTCCTATACACCACCGTCGTACCGTGTACGTGACACGCGTATACGGCGCGTATACGACTGTCACGACCACGATCACGACGAGAGAGTCGAAGTCCAATACGAAGTGACGACAAGCTCAAGCACGTTCGCCTCTGATACGGCGGGCGAGCTGGATGTCCTTCGGCATGATGGTGACGCGTTTAGCGTGGATGGCGCAAAGGTTGGTGTCCTCGAAGAGACCGACCAGATACGCCTCGCTGGCCTCCTGCAAAGCCATCACAGCGGAACTCTGGAAACGTAGATCAGTCTTGAAGTCCTGAGCGATCTCGCGGACCAGACGCTGGAAAGGCAGCTTGCGGATCAGCAGCTCGGTGCTCTTTTGGTAGCGACGAATCTCACGCAGGGCCACGGTGCCGGGCCTGTAACGATGCGGCTTCTTGACACCACCGGTGGCCGGTGCGCTCTTGCGGGCCGCTTTGGTCGCCAACTGTTTTCGTGGAGCCTTGCCACCGGTCGATTTACGGGCGGTCTGCTTTGTACGTGCCATGGCGGTTTATAATAAGACTGACTTGACTGACGAACGAACGGACGGCGGAACGGAACGTGACGAGACGGAGAGCGTTCAGACAGAGAATGAAGCGCAAGCGTTTTTTTTCGGACTACTCTAATGCTGTTGGCCGTAGCTGGCCTTTACAGCTTCACCGGACGTTATGGGGCGAGTGCAGATGGCACTCCAAACCCGCGGAAGGACTTATGGAGCGGCTGAAGGCCAACTCCTGCCCGACGGATACGACTTTAGTCTGAGGGCACCACTAGGGGTTCGAACCTCGGCTCAGGCCGTCGTAATTTCGATCCCCGTTTGAATTGGACGGGGGATCGATCGGAGAGGCGCCCGGGGGCGCCGGTGTGGAGCGCCCGGGCGCGCGCAGGCGCCCGGTTGAATGCGCGATATTGTGTGTTTGAGGTCGTCGTCTTCGCCGGCGAGGACGGTGTCGTGTGTGTGTGTAAAAGTGTGGTCGGGGTGGAACGGGTGGGCCCGTGGGGAGGTTACCTGCCGTTATGGGGTCGTCGGGGTCAATGAGAACGTGCCTCGGGCGACGTTGTCGCGTATGTCGGATATTACTCCTCGGTGCGTAGTCGACCGCACTGACTATAAGCGGATTAGGGTGGGATTGGCAGAGTCGAAGTAGCGTCGAGACGCTTCCTTCATAAACTGCTTGATGGAGGGCAGATTAAGATCGCGGTGGAGATCTACGCTGCGAACGAACCACGGCGCGCCGGTGGCTCGACGCAGAAACCTATTCTGAATGACCTGCAGTCTGTTGATTAAGCAGTAGGGTATGTGGGCGAATACGGGACTAGCGTAGGTCATGATGGGACGGATGCAAGCCTTGTATAATGTCAGCTTGTTGCGAAGCGACATTTTACTGTGCTTGTTAATAAAAGGATAGAGTCGCCCTAGTATAAAGGCGGCTCGGTCGCGGACACGCTTGATGTGAGGACGAAACGTTAGTTTCCTATCTAGGGTGACGCCGAGATATTTCGTTTTCGAAACCCACGGGATGTTTTGGCCGAATAGTTCGATCGGGTGATTCATAGAGTCGAATTCCCTGCTAAAGTACACTGCTGCACTTTTTTCGGGATTGACTTCTATGCGCCACCGACGGAACCATTCGCCCAGTATCGTTACGGCTTTCTGAAGCCGTCTGGCTATTGTCGCACGGGACTTGGCGGATGTAAAGAGAGCCGTGTCATCGGCAAACAGCGATATTTCGACTTTTAAGTCGGAGAATTTGGGGATGTCGTTGGTGTACAACGAGTAGAGCATCGGAGAGAGGACGGCGCCCTGAGGGACGCCGGCTCGTATGGGGTGCGGGTCGGATAACGCTCCGTTTATACGGTAGCGATAAGAGCGATTCGACAGGAAATCTCGTACAATGAGTACTAGCCTGTCGGGGACACCTAACTGATGAAGCTTGTAAATCAAGCCGTTGTGCCAGACTTTATCGAAAGCCTTAGCCACATCGAAAAATAGGACGCCTGTACCGCCTTTGGGGGACTTGGTGGCGAAGTACAGAGTGTTTTTGTGAATGTGCTCCGTGATGCGGTGCACTTGATGGACGCATGAGTGTTTGGCTCGGAAGCCAAACTGCTCATTGATGAGCAGACCTTTGGAGTATATAAACTCCTTTAGGCGGGCGAGGAGGATTCGCTCGTACAGCTTGCCTATAGCCTTGAGGAGGCTGATAGGACGATAACTGGACGGGTCGGATTTATTTTTACCGGGCTTGGGGATGCCAATGACCACGGCTTCTTTCCAGCTGTCTGGAAATATAGCGTTGGACAGCGCCGCGTTAAAAATAGCGACGAGTAATAACAAAAGTTGGGATGGCAGACTTTTGACTAATCTATTCGATATGCCGTCTGAGCCGGGTGATTTTTTGATAGGTAGTTGTTTAACTAGCGTTTTGACCTCATCAAGCGTGACTGGTGAGAGGGATTCGGTGGGCGGGGTGGACGCGATGCGTTCGACTTCGGTGTCTATCTTCTCGAGATGACCTGCCTCGACTGGGAGCGTGCTGGGGGAGCATTGGGCTTCTAAGTTGGACGCTAGACACTCAGCCTTGTCTTCGTCGAAGAAGGCTATAGTGTTGTCGGGTCGGACTAGCGGGGCATGTCGTTTGTCTGTTGGTCGGTTTTGAGAGATTTCGCTATGCGCCAGTACGCGGTGTGGCATGGCGTTATCTCTTCTAGGAGCTTGCCCCACCGGCCGTCCCGGATCTGCGCGATGCGCTCCTTAACGCTACGCTGTAAGGCTCGCAGGCGCACCCGGTTCGGTTCGGAGGGGTAGCGATCGTACGCTCTAGTGGCTGCGTTCTTATCGCTTATTAACCTCCTTACGTCATCGGGGAGCTGCCAGCGACGGTCGTCCGTCGCCGGTACCTCCCTGGAGCAGTCCTTGACTGCCGACTGCAGGTGGTTAGTAAGCGAGTCGATGGCAATGAGAGTGTCCTCGGTGAAGCGCAAGCGCAAGCGCCTAATGCCCGGTTATTTATAGAGCGAGCGCACCCGATCTCTCTCCCTCTCGTTCACGGCGCACTTTCATATGTACCATCTCTTTCGCTCTCTGTGTCTGCTGTACTATAATGTGAAATACATTATAAAATGTTACAAAACGAATTATTATTATTATTTTAATGATTACAACAATTAATTAACGTACGTATAATTAAGTTTTACGTGTTTGTATGTACATACATACATATTTATTTATGCGACAAATCGATCTCGAAGTCATACGTTACACGTTACATATCAGTCATGCATCCATACGTACATACACCGATTATTTTAAATTTAAATTTATAATATATATATATATATATAACATTATAATAAATAATTGCACACGCTAAATGCGGAATCAAAGCGAACGGCGGCAATGCATCTTACATCTTACAGCAGTAGTATAAATAATCGCTAAGTAATTTGATTAATTATATCATTAATAATATTTTATGATGTGTATTGTTAATATATTGAATATATTATAAGAGACGGTGAACACCTCCGACATAGAAACTTTAAATGCGAACAGGTTTGCGGCCCTGAAAATATTGTATTATTTATATAGATGCATATGCGACAAATCGATCTCGAAGTCATACGTTACATTATTATAATCGATCTCCGATGTACTCACAGAAATTGACTGTATTACTTGTTGATGTTGTTCTCCTTGAAAAGATGGCGCTGTTTCCTAATTTTCTACTTGTATAGGTTAAGATTTTGTTTCGTTGATGAAGTACAACGATAAATATCTTCTATGTGTCGGTATGATTAATTTGGCACATGTTGAGATGTGGCCAATAATTTTAAACCAAAGAACCCTATGAACTATCATCATTTCTCAAGTTGTGAAACCTGAAGTTAACAGCAGATCCGACGTGGAAACCAGAAGAGCAAAACGCAACAAAGGAGGCTCTTCCAGGGGAATATACGACGATCCGGCTATATGTAAGTAGTACTTGGTCTGTGTTTCCACAAGTAAGTGTAAGTAGTGCTGGGTCTCTCAAAGTGCCATCGGTATGTACCGTATTTATATTCATATGCATGTAGTAAAAAACGGTTATTTCAATATTACAAACAGATACTCCAATTTAAAGAGTCAACAAATGTCCACTGTACTACCTACACTTTGTATTGTTTAGTCGTTGTATATTGTTTAATAGATAACTTAGAATAGATTGAATAAATTGTATCACATTGCACTTAATTTTACGTTTTTCATAATCAGTGATTTCAGTTTTGTTAAATAAATACAACATATGTTATTATTTACTTAAATGTACCGCCCACTAATCTCTGTTTGCCCTATGGTCGACTGGGAGAAAATGCCTTATGGTTTTTATAAATAAATAAAAATTATATTTATGTAACGGGTTTATTTTGTGAATAAATAACGTTTGATCTTAACTATTACACGGATTGCAAAGGTTTATTGAGCATTTGCCGCTTCGAGTTTCAGACGCAATGACTCGGGCATCTCTGCTGGCGGTGGCCGCGGCATTCTCATATATACCTGCAAACATTTAAAAAACTTTATAACCACCCCGACCACACTTTTACACACACACACGACATCGTCCTCGCCGGCGAAGACGACGACCTCAAACACACAACACAACCGGGTGCTCCACACCGGCGACCCCGGGCGCCCCTCCGATCTATCCCCCGTCCAATTCAAACGGGGATCCATATTACGACGGCCTGAGCCGAGGTTTGAACCCCCTAGTGGTGTCCTCAGACTAAAGTCGTATCCGTCAGGCAGGAGTTGGCCTTCAGCCGCTCCATAAGTCCTTCCGCGGGTTTGGAGTGCCGTCTGCATTCGCCCCCTAACGTCCGGTGAAGCTATGAAGGCCAGCTGCGGCCAACAGCATTAGAGTAGTCCGAAAAAAAAACTTTATTTAAGATGTTTAAAAAAAACCGTAATAATTTACGCATGCCGTGACAATGAAAATAATACCTGAGAATAAATAAAAAAAAAAAAAAATACCTGAACTTATTGCAAGTGATAATAATTGTAACTGCATAGTGTATGTCTTGGTGGTTGCTCATGTAAATAAATAAGATTATCAAATTTAGGTCTATTTAGTTATTTACAGACTATGTACTCTACTGTCATATCGAGGAAGAACGTCAGTTCCTCAATGCTTGCAAGTTGCAACTCTTCTCTAACTACTATGAAATTGAGCACAATTATCATTTACTAGCTGTACCCGCGACTTGCGTAAAATATAGTGACCCTGATTAAATAATGAAAATATATTTAATAATCTAACACAATAAAAAAGGTTTCATGGTTCGAGATTCAAAAATGACAAATTTGAATAAAAACATTCAACCCATATTTTATTTTTCCCTCTTAAGGATACAATATTTACAAGCTTTGAATGCCATATTTATTTATATTTGATGTATGTAATGATGAGGCTATTGAGCCTCATCATTACATAGTATAAAACAAAGTCGCTGTCGCTGTATGTCTCTATGTATGCTTAAATTTTTAAAACTACGCAACGGATTTCGAAGCTGTTATTTTAATAGATAGAGTGATTCAAGAGGAAGTATTATATATATAATACATGTACACCGGTGCGAAGCCGGGGCGAGTAGCTAGTATGAAATAAGTTTCATGCTTCTAGCTTTAAAAATGGCCATCCATGAAACCATCGTGATAAATTCTTGATGAATATGTCACGATGGGCTACCTGACCTGAACTCATGCTCATCTTATCATCCTCCACTGGTGCCCCGCCAGCGTAAATCGTTAACGCAGGCGGGTGCATCATTCCATTATCATACAAAACAATATCTTACTTTGACTCCGTCGTATATGAACCATTGGAGACCGGTGAGTGTACCGATCATCACGATCCTAGCACCGAGTCCCTTCCACACGCCCCCCCATCCCAACTTGCTCAGGATTGATCCGATTGTAGCCGATTTGTCCTGAAAATATAAAAATAGTAATCACAATATGCTTTATAATAGGTGGAATAACAAACAAGCTGACAGATCATCTAATGTCATACGACAACACCATTACTTAACAGGGGCGGAAGGAGTTTGTTGGTTATGGAGTCTAGTATCCCCAATGCTAGCAATGTACCATATTAGGTCGACCTCCACGCGGTTCCCCCTCAAAACCATAATGGTTAATTCCTGGTTATTTAATCACATGAGCAAACTGAACTGACATCATGCACATCTTATCATACTTCACTAGTGCTCCGCCGGCGTAAACCGTCAGCGCAGACCAGTGCACCATCCCATTCTCCTCCATTACAGAAAAAACATGACGAACAAAATAATTTCTTTCCAATTGTTCCTCAGTTTTATTCTAATGGGGTTAAATAACGACTTGAATAGAAAGTCGGACCTCTTGCAGAAGACTAAAGAAGACTCAGAGTATTCGTCAGGCAGTATATGATAGCCTTCAGCCGCTCCTTAAGTTGGGTTTGGAGTGCCATCTGCACTCGCCCCCTTGTCCGGTGAAGCTGTAAAGGCCAGCTGCGGCCAACAGCATTAGAATAGTCCGAAAATAAAGTATGAACATAATTTTTATAGGCTTTTTCATTACTTGGTTTGCCTTTGAGACGAGGTGTTCGGCAGGGTGCGGACCAACGGTATTAGAATAGACCAAAAAATATATATTAACATATACTTTTTATAGTTTTTTTTCATTAGTTGGTTTAATTTAGAGACGACGCTGTCGCAGGGTGCATTAGAGAAGACCAAAAAATAAAAATTATATATTTTTTACCTGGTTTAGTTTTGATACGAGAGTATCAGCAGGATGTGAAACGATAGCGCAGAACACGCCAGCGATGTAGCCGGCGGCAAATGTCACCACCAGTTGCTCGTTCTTGCTGCATTCCGCACGTGGTTTTGGCACAACGTACTGGAAATAACAATAAATAACAACACATTGAGAAAATCCTGGTCTTTTGAAGTTAAAAATAGTAATAAATTGCTAAACACACATATCTTTATATTGATTTATAAATGACGAACTTCTAAGATTTTAAATTTAAGAAAATACCTTCGATTTTAGAAACTTCTATTCTTTTGAAGTGTTTTAAAATTAGTACTGATATTATAAACGCGAAAGTTTGTGAGTACGGATCGATGTTTATTACTCTTTCACGCAAAAACTACTGAACGGATTCTGATGAAACTTTACACTAATATAACTTATTCGTAAGAATAACACTTAGGCTATAATTTAAAAAGATATTATCTAAATTGAGCGAAATATAATGATAAATATCAAGTAATAGTGATGGAGAGGAAGTTACACGAGTCAACTAGTTACAACTAATATTTCTTATAAAGACTATTACGCCTTTTTTTTCAGGAATGTAGTGATTAATGTACCTTGTACAATGTCTCGAGGGTCCTCTCGAAGCAGGCGAACTTCATCATGGTGTATGGTATCTGCCGACCCCATAACGGCGCGAGACTCTTGAAGAATGTTCCATAGCCTTCATTCTGCACCATCTTGGGCCAAGCCTCGCGGAGTGTGTTTGCGAAGCCAGGCATGGTCTGTACTCGGACCTGTAATAGTATAATAATATCTTACGACCACTTACACAGCGCCATCTAGTCTCAAGCTAAGCAGAACTTGTGTTATGGGTACTAGATAACTAATATATATATATGTTTTGTCAATACATAATTGACAAAAAATATATATTAGCTATATTATACATAGAAAATAGCCATATAACCAATAATACTAATGAATACAAAATGTATGTACTGTGCGAGGAATCGAACCCGCGACCATACGAAGTAAAGCGGCGAGCTAAACCGCTAGACCACCGGGGCTTCAAAAATCATTTAAACAGTACCTTCACAGCTTCGAAAGGAGATAACGCGATGTCTGCAAACACCTCAGCTGATGCAGAAGCTGCGAGGTACACCAGCGTACGGTAGGTGTAGGCGGTCTCCTCGCCCAAGAAGTCAGAGTAACCAACTTTGAAGACCTCATAGAGACCAAACTTGAACAGACCCTGCGAACAGAAAAAATAATTACTGTAATCTATATCTTAACTAGCTAGCTAGACGCCGTAAACGTTGTTTTGCCATATAACTTAATAACGCTATAAAAAATAGGGGTTGGTGATTGAAGGGTAAAAAATTAGGGTTGTATGTATTATTTAATGCCAATAAATACATAAAAATAAAATAAATAAAAAAGTCGAAAAATAAAAAATTGGGGTGAGCCACCCTTAACACTTAGGCGTATAAAAATTTGTTGTAAACCTATTCTCAGACCTACTGAATATAGGTACATATAAAATTTCATCTAAATCGATCAAGCAATTCCGTAGGAGTATAAACACGAAAACTGTGACACGAGAATTTTATATATTAGAATACTAGCATTTCCCGCCACTTCGTCCGCGTGGAATTTAACTTTATTTGTCTAATATAAAAGATTTTTTTAAAATAACAGAATCCTATGTTAGTCCTTATTACATCAGCTACCTGCCAATAAAAGTCTCGCCAAAATCGGTCCAGCCATTACAGAGATTAGCCGGAACAAACAGATCGACAGACTGACCTTGTTGTTGTTGTTGTTCCTTATTTATATTCACATGCATGTAGTAAACAACGGTTATTTCAATATTACAAACAGACACTCCAATTTTATTTATATGTATAGATGTATAGATATATATGTGAAGCAAAAATTTTGTACCCCTTTTTACGAAAATTGCGCTAACTATATATGAAATCTTGCACACTGTATACATAGTTCATACAGAAAAAAATGCATTACGCTAACTATTTTAAATACTTTAAAAAATTATGATTTACACCTAGTATTGTGAACCACGACAGCTATCTGCCCCGACTTCATCCCCATCCTATCTTCTTCATTTGTGTTACTATTTATTTTTTTAAATAGTGTCCTCCCCCCCCCCCTTTTATATATTTTTTTCATTTTGGTGCCACTGAAAAGCAGTGGTATGTTCACATAAGACATTCAATAAAGCTGAGTGGAGCCATTTCAGTGTTTATATGTATATGTATGAAAATATTTATGTTGATTTAAAATTTTTAAATTAAGTTAAATTATTTGGATAAATTTTATTTTCTGATTTTTTAGTTCGGTTTTCTTATATTGTAACACTGTTGCAAAGCACTGAATAATGACATTAATACATTTTTTTCTTTCTATAGCACCATTCCATTAAAAAATCTGGTACCTGTAAAGAGTATCCAAAGAGGGTAGGCGCCCAGCCTTTAGCGAGCCCCCTGACGCCGTCCTCCCGCACACAAACTCTGAACCCGTTCAGCACGTTCCTGTATTTTTCAGGGTCGACCTGCAGCCGGCACTTCACCAGGTCGAGAGGAACCACTGCGGTGTGGGTAAGACCTGGAAATTTTATGGTATCATATGAATACAAAGAAAAAAACGATATTTAAAATCAGTGCTGACCCTTTAACCTTTTTTATAGAATAGGAACTAACGACCTTGCGGCTCACCTGATGGTAAGTTATTACTGCCGCAACCCGCAACATCAGCGTAATTGCAAGTGAAATGCTGGCCTTTTAACGAGGCCAGCTCTTTACTTAAAGGTTTCAATATCGTATCGGTTTGCCATTACCGTAACCATTGCTGCAACGTGAATCCACAATGTGTTTGTGCATGACAAAGAGTTTCTGGAAAACCGCACAGTGGAGGACCGATATTAATCCAGATGATCAGGATGGTATTTTAGTTTCTGGCGGGTAGTGAGATGGTGAAATTTAGTAGCTAAACAAATCTTCCAAAGCAATCTACTTGGCGGGTAAAATAGGTGAAATAGAGGTCTCTCTCTATGTATAGATATACTTTATTTAAAAATTACTGTAATCTACATATGAATGTACATATTTGGGGGCTGAAATAAATAGATGTAGCCAAGCAAACAACTTTTTACAGTCTAACTCTAAAATCTACAGAAATAAACTTAAAAAAAAAGTTCTGACCGCAAGCAAGCATGCCGTTGAATCCACATAATGCGAAATATTTCGATGATCCAAATTCGCAGGAATCCTGCTGCACGGGAGGTGTTGCCACTGCTAGAGGTTTGTCACTGACAGGCTGAAAATAAACAATATTATAATTATTACTAGCTGACCCGTCAAACGTTGTTTTGACACACAAATTACGGATTAAAAAAATAGGGGTTGATGATAGAAGGGTGAAAAGTTAGGATTATATGTATTTTTAATCCCACATAATAAAAAAATATAAATAACATGTTTTGTCGAAATAATGAAAAAAAAATTTTTCGGGTGAGCTATACTTTACTTTTTACTTAGAGGTATAAAAATTAGTTATAAACCTATACTCAGACCTACTGAATATACATATAAAATTTCGTTAAAATCGGTCAAGCAGTTTCGGACGAGTATAAACGAAAACTTTGACAAAATTTTATATATTAGATATAATCATCAATCACAACCAATCAAATCAAAACAAAATATTAAAGTATTATTAAATTATATTAATATTAAAGTATATTATTAAACAAATATTATACTATTTACGCTTATGATATGTCAAAATTTACCGTCAGTTCGGAATGTATTCGAGCTTGAAGAAGTAACAAGAGACTCAGCTCTTATCCTTTTCAAATGAGCATGTTTACAAAAATATAGAATACAAATTACGGAGAATAGAGTGATCCAGCATATGCTATTGTAAATTTGTGAAAAGATAAAAATAGTGGTCATTATTCATTATTTATATTATATGTGATACAAAAATATCTTACCCCTTTTTACGAAAATTACGCGAACGAATTCAGGAATATGATATTTAAAATTATGCTAATAAAATACATTAAATCAATAAAAAAAACATTACACACACACACTACCATGCAGTTCAGACACACGCATATATTCTTTTGTTTATTGCTAGTGCCTGTGATTATAGAAGTACAGTGGACGCGCGGTAATCCGGCCCCTGTCTTATCAGACCCCCCTTGTAATCCGACATGGTCTGTTATTTATTATTGAATATTTTTTAGACAATATACTTCAGAGTGCATATACATACACACATATATAACATAGAATGTTATCACTGGATCTGTAATTTGTCGGATTACAAGATACTCTTTTGTAAAAAATTCCGGACTTAGCAGTAGCACTCTATAATCCGACAAATTCGATGGTCCGACACTGCCCTGCAAATCGTTTGTCGGATAACTGTATATCGGATAATGTTCAAACATATAATTAAAATTAATTATGCTCGAATATCGACCACTACAATATTATAATTTTTAATACGATCTGAGTTAAGTCAGCATAATAAAAGCACAGCATGAGAACACCACCCCCTCTGATCGATGCCCCGTCCAATTCAAACGGGCACAAAATTACGACGGCCTGAGCCGAGGTTCGAACCCCTAACGGTGCCCTCAGACTAAAGTCATATCCGTCAGGCGGGAGTTGACCTTCAGCTGCTCTATAAGTCCTTCCGCGGGTTTGGAGTGCCATCTGCACTCACCCCCTATCGTGCGGTGAAAAGGCCAGCAGCGGCCAACAGCATTATAATAGTCCCAAAAAAAAGTGCTCTGTGTAAAGACAGCATAATAAAAGCATAGTATACGGACTGTATTACAGGTTACCTGTTCGATTCCCAACGGTGTTGTTGCCTCCTCAGAAGCCTGACAATGTACTGGGTTGAGGGGCGCGGTGAACGGCGACCTTCTAGCCGCGTCCAGAAGTGATGAGAACATTGTGCTCTGTGGTAAAAGGTGTTACTTCATTTTATTATATAACTTATAATATTTCAGGGCAACTTCCACAGCGCCATCTAGTTACCAAGCTTGTGTAATACTTAACAAGTGATGTAAATAAATAGATACATTTTTTTTGTAAACACATACATAATATACTTATAAAACACCCAGATCCATACAAACAATCATACTTATGAATACAAGTGTTTATACAGTGCGAGGAATCGAACCCGCTACCGTCGAAAGTACGGTGGTATGCTAAACCGGTGGCCTAGCCACCGAGGCCGTAACTGGGAATCAAAGATCGTATTATGCGGTGAATGGATTGTTGGTAATGAGAAATTAGAGTCTACGGCCCTAATGTTAGCAATGTACTATGTCAGGTCCACTTCCACCTGGTCTCTTGGAAACCATCTTGGTTCCTTATGGAAAATTAATGCCCTGATCAAGTAGAATAAATCATACTTATACGCACTAATGCTGTAGATAGCGATAGATGAAAGAATTCTTAGAATAGGTTAAATATTCTTTATCCTAATGAAAAAATACAAACTATCAAATCATACCCCAGCCGTCATATAAGATATTTCTTATTGAGCGATTGTTTGAACTTATTACACATCCTAGATAGCAATTCCTTATAGTCCTGCCACGACAGATTACAAATTGGATATTAACACAGATTAAAAATGGAGCATACTTTATGTACGAGACATAAAAACTTCTTTGCATTTATTTTAAATTTCGAACGCGCTTCGCATTCATTTGTTTTAAGAATAAAAAATATTGTTAGAGATGTGAAAATTCCATCATGGCGTTTTATTTATCTCCACAAATTTTCAACTATGATTTATATATAGTTAATGGTCCTTCGACATATTAATAATATTAGAACCAGTGCAATATAACAATTTACGTTATAGTTAATTGTTTTCACATTTAATTCGCCTCAAATCAAAGTTATATTTGATTGTGTCTATAACACGGGCATCTTGTTGGAAAATATATATTATTATTTTTGTTAAAAATGGAGACTAAAGAAGATAATATTGAAAAGTTGAAGCGGTCGAGAGCATATTATAAGGGTAAGATAACGAGAGTTGCTAATTATATTGAAGAATGTAAATATGAAGACATTATGGATTTGGAGGTGAGAATTGAACAAATTAATATGGCTTATAGTAAATATGATAGCTTGCAAGAACTAATTTGCCTTCTTGAAGAGACAGATGAAAGTGATTTATTCAACGATACCGAAGAATTATATTTAAATGTTTTATCACGCATAAAGTCTATAATTAATAATTTGAAATTAAAGTCTACCCGCTGTGAATCCATTGACAATATGCCTAAATCCATAAAAAATAAATTGCCGGTTTTGGAGATTCCTTCTTATGATGGAAAAGATATATGTAAATATAAAACATTCATTGATATGTTCAGAGCAATTATTGATAACGACTGTGATCTTACAAATATTCAGAAACTATTTTATTTACGAAAATATCTCTTCGGCGATGCTCTTAGTCTGATTGATGGTCTTCCGCTCATTAACGAATCATATTCAAAAGCTTTGGAACTATTAGAAGATAGATACAGTAATAAATATATTTTAATTACAAGTCATATATATCATATATTCGACATATCATCTCTCACACGAGGCACAGCAGCCAACCTACGGGAGCTGGTGTCCACCGTGCGGCAAAACGTCGGCGCCCTCGACAGCTTGGGACAACCCGTTGGCGCATGGGATATGATTCTTGTGTCCATTATTTCACGCAAGTTGGACCAGTATACTTGTCGCGCATATTTTGCAGAACGTGATCAGGGCAAGCTTCCTACTTTAGATGACTTATTGAAGTTTTTAGAGCGCCGCGCTTGTAGTTTTGAAGAGAGTAATAAGGTCGAGAATGGTAACAAAATTCATTTGGGTAAGATGAAGTTTACTAATTTTGTAAATACTAAACCTGTATTATATAATTGTTTATTTTGTTCCGCTACTAATCACCGATTATACAAATGTACTAGTTTTAAGTTAGAGTCTGTAGACAACCGACTAAGCTTTGTAAATAAACATGATTTATGTATGATATGTCTTAATAAGCATATGAACAAAAAATGTAATTTTCAATTTAAATGTTCTCATTGTGGTAGCAAATGTCATAATTCTCTTCTTCAGTATGAAGAGGATACACAGACACCAACTACTTCTGTCAGCACTGCTTGCAGTAGCACTGTTGTAAATACAAGTATCTTGTTACCTACTGTCATAGTTAATGTACAGGCTAGTGATGGCAGTTTTCGTAAGGTTCGCGCATTAATGGACAGTGGTAGTCAAACTTCGTTTGTTACTCGTAACCTTGTTAAAGAATTAGGTCTTATACCTTTTAAAAATGAATTTAAGATTGTGACAATAGGTCAACAGGCGCAGCAGGTCAAAGATGGCGTAAATATTAATATAAGTTCTTTAAACACGAGTTATTCTACTTCCGTAAATTGTTCTGTTGTAAATAATATTACTTTACCTATTCCCCAACATAATATCGATTCGTGTAATATTAAAATTCCTAGTAATGTGATACTGGCTGACACCACGTTTAACGTTCCAGGTCCTATCTCTTTATTATTAGCCGCGGACATATTTTTTGATGTTTTGCTTCCCGACAAGATTAAATTAGGACCAGGGAGATGCGTATTACAGAATACATCTTTCGGTTATATTGTTTCGGGGGAAATTCACAGCAAATCTGTGAGCAATTATACTCATTCTATGCATATACTCGCAAATCAATCAGTAGGTAATATTCCAGAAAAACTTTCGAATGTAGATATTTCCATTCCCAATGTTATAGCAACAACAAAACATTCATTTACTGAAAAAGTACATCAACACAATGGTGTTATTTTAAATAATAAGTTTAAAATGTATCGGAATGTCAAATTTGTAAGTGAACTTAAAGTATATGATTTGTTTACAAGGATTATACAAAGAATGAATTTATTATTAAATAAACCTTTTCCTAATGATATATATTGTAAAAATGTATATATAAAATTTAGTAACAATTATTTAGATTCACAATATGCCTTATTTTGTAATTTAGGTAATGTGTCTATAAATTTACTTAATATGCCATATTACCCTCTTATAAGGAAGAATAAAAATATTATAAAATTGATATATAGTGGCAGGACTAGATGTCTAAGTTCTTTACTCTATGATCATTTGTTTGTACACCTAGAGCTACATGTACCACGTGTCAAGCATGATTTATATTTAAAAGATTCACCTACAATTCAATTAGTGGGATTCTATAATACAAGTCTCAATGCATTTGGTTATTGTATATATTATTACCATTGTACGTATAAAAATTATATTATTGTTGTAAATTTGATTTTTATAACATTTTGTATAGTTGTGTTAAGGAATAAGCTTATAATTCATTCTCAGCTTTCAGTTCAGTTACTTTTATCTTTTATTAAATTGTTATTTACTTTTATTGTTATTAGTGATTCGCAAATTACTTCATCTAGGATGAAAACAATTAATCTTACAAGTTTGAGTGTATTTGTATATAATAAACAAGATGATTTAACTCGTTCCAATACTTGTCATTCTGTTGTTATTAAATCGATTACTTCAAAATATTTGTTGTGTGTGGTAGATCCTCACATATTGAGAGATACTAGCCTCCGGTGGTACAGGTCATCACATAGGGAATCTGAATTTATATCTATTAAAACTATGCATTATCATCATTCAAAAGTTTATATATCAAAGACCTGTAGTAAACATATATACATTATTTTATTTAAAGATTCGTGTACTAGTAATTTGTTAACAATTCCAATAAATGTTTTATTCTTATTAAACTGCAATATGTTATCGGATATATTTATACATTCTATAATAGTTTTAAGAAATGAATTACTGAGCTAGGAATAGATTTGAACATTAGTATTTTTAACATGTCTTAACAAAACAGTTATTAATTTCTTTAGTGTGTAGACTATACTTTACTTAAACGATATTACTTTGATTTATTAATAAGATTTTTATAAAACATTATATTATGTAATGTTGTTTCTTAACATTTGTTTGTTTGGGAGCTTTATGTACGAGACATAAAAACTTCTTTGTATTTATTTTAAATTTCGAACGCGCTTCGCATTCATTTGTTTTACGAATAAAAAATATTGTTAGAGATGTGAAAATTCCATCATGGCGTTTTATTTATCTCCACAAATTTTCAACTATGATTTATACACTTACTAAGTGTTAACGCCTACCACTTTCGATTAGCAATAGTTAGGACAGATAATAATGGCTCCGAATATGTTAGGCGCTAGTCAAATCATTATCATTTATCTGTGTCAATAACAATTATTTATTTATCAATAGTTAAATTATTTATTAAACAAATTATTGCAAATATTAAGTAAATTATTGCAAAGAGTATGATAAGTATATCTGTTAAGAAATATTTGGTTTATGTAAAAGAAATTAATATATATTTTAAACAATACGTCAAATTTTGAATAACAAGACTGTCGCGCGATCGCGAATACATCAGACCATTTTATTTCTCTTTTATTACTGCCCTATCTGTGTATCTTATACCCAATGAGAATTATTTATTAACAACATGTATTGCGTTTACTTATAGGTAATCCAATCATATTGGTTGCTAATATTGCTACCTATTTTAATTAAAATATCAACAAACATCATACCGTGTTGCAGTAGTAACCGTCGCCTATGAAGATGAATAGCACTATGAACATCACGTGATCAATTTACAACTTATAGAAAACAACATAAACATTACATAGAACACTCCCGTACATTCCAACATAACTAGTATCAAGTATTAACTAGGTTTGTTACCGGTATGTTGTTTACACATCGTCACATGTTGAGCGGAGCGCGTTTATTTTTAAAAAGTTGGTCTTGAACTATCGGATTTTTTTAATGGTAAATGATGGTGGCCCGTCGGGCGACCCTCGATGATTTTAGTACAGATCGGCCAATCTATTTCGGAGGAGTATCGTTACAAAGAGTGCAAAACTGATATCTAGTTCGCTTTGCGCTTCGCACTAGCTCAATTAGCTTTATTAATGGAGAAATTATATTTCACATTCTGTATTTCTATACGTACCAATTTACGTTCATTAAATAATTTCGATTTGTTCTAATTAACGACATGCGTCATTATCTATAATGATAATATATTTTTTATAATAGATTTTATGCGATGTTATTGAAAACATGACCCTTAAAAAATCTGCTAATACCAAGTACCTTTATCACCTAAGACGACCTCGGTGGTCTAGTGGTTTAGCACACCGCTTTACTTCCGGTGGTCGCCGGTTCGATTCCTCGCACTGCACAAACATTTGTATTTTCTATGCATGTATTTACAGAAAAAAACTTATGTATCATATCAGTCGTCTAGTGCCCATAAAACAAGCTCTGCTTAGCTTGCGACTAGATGGCAATGTGTTAACTGTCCAAGTTTATTTATTTATTATAAACAATATTCAATTCAGAACAGCTTTCTTTAAGACATACTTATATTATGTAATAATAAATGGTTAATTATTTGTAACAGGAAAAAATATCTGATAATCTCAGTACTTATAAGTTCACGGGTAAAACCTCGTAGAGGAAAATCAAAAAACAAAAGAACAAGTTTGATAAGTACATAGGTAACACTACATTACGGGTTTTCCTTATTTGATAATTATATCTAATTATAACGTCTTTCTAAGACGTATATATATCGCGAGTGAAGCAATAACTTACATTTAAAGCTAGTAACTTGTGTAGCAAAGTAACAATTTAAATTTTGGACAAATAAATTTATAAAAATGGCGAAAAACTACCAAACTATTTTGCTGTTGGTGTGCGTATCGTTTTTAGTAATCGTTTCGGTACCACAGAATATGGTACAAGCAGATGTCCTCATTGGAAGTTGTGTTTGGGGAGCCACAGATTATACAGACGACTGCAACGGCGAGTGCAAGCGGCGAGGACACAAAGGTGGACATTGTGGAAGTTTCTTGAACGTTAATTGTTGGTGCGAATAACATTTCTCGTCGAAATCCGGACCGGCAAAAATTTTATTACCTATCCACGGGGACTAAGCCAAATATTTTCGCGTTTATTATTTCATGTAGTTCTACGAAGATATCAATAAAAGGTTGGAACTGTCAAAGTGTAATTACTACAAAGCGATCATGTTATTATATAAATAATTTGTTTACAATTGAATCCAGAATATTCTGTTCCTATACGTTTTTAATTTTTATATAATTACGCGTGAATCTCTTCTAAATTGTGTTCAAAACATATGTTGAGTTTCAGAACTCCACTTATTTAAATGAAATAGAAAAAAAATATGTACAGTGCCATCTAGTGACCATGTTTGTATACTCAGTTTTAAAAAGCTATCGCTAGATGGAACTACTAATTATCTACGTACTATAAATAATTGCGTTTTTTGTAAAATAATAATGCATTTTTATTATTATTTAAGTACAAATATATAATAATTGCAATTAATGTTTTTATGTGTTTACATTTCATAACGGGCTATAATTAATTTTGATATCAAGATGCTTTTATGAGAACATTTAAATTTTTTTTTCATATCATATTCTCATAGTCTGGAAGGGGTGAAATACGGGATGAAAATATGTGGAGACTCTTTATTAATAATAATAATAACTTCAGAACGATTCATACAATGCCATTTAGACTCAAGTTAAACTAGCTAATGCTTGTGTTATGGGTGTGTTATAACTGATACAAAATATAAATACATAGATTTTTTTTCATAAATACATGTATATTATATATAGAAAACACCCAGACCGACATATATATAGAAAACACACAAACAATCATACTCATGAATACAAATGTTTGTGCCGTGCGAGGAATCGTACCCACGACCATCGGATGCAAGGCGGTGTTGAAACATTTGTTAAATCTTATTTAGCAAATCCTAATAATCACTAAATGATTAAATGACAAATGTGCATAGCAATAGTTGTTCATGCACGGGATGTTCATTTAATATTAGACATAGACACCTAAATAAGCCTCAAATATAAGTAAACTGGTTTTTAAAGAAAAATAAAAAATATTGTTGAGTTACTTACCAATTCTTCTCAATTGAATCTGTATACTAAACTAGATGTAGGGAAAAAAAATTTAACTACAAAAAACTTGACGTTCATAAGCGGCAGAAATGTCCTACATGAATAAATTATTTTTTTCTTTTGAATAACTTCAAGTATTACATGAATACTAAAAAGGCAGTTATCCATAAAAATAGATATATTTTTAACCCGTCTGATATTACAAAATGACATAGGTAGGTACTCGTAGTTGATTTATCATGTTATCAATGTAGACGTATAGATACAGTTTTATCAATAACAACTAATCAGAGCGAAACGGGTTATATAATATATAGTCGATTTTTTTAACTTTTAAGAAAATTATTCTCACGACTATAATAGCAAATGGAGTAGTTACTAAATATCGCCATGTAGTCCTCATATATATCGAATATATATTACGGGTACTAGATAACTCATTAAACATACATGTAAGTAATATTTATATATAAAACAGGCATATTCCTGAATACAAATGTTTCTATTGCGTGAGGATCGAAACCGCAACTATAGGAAGGTAAGACAGTGTGTCAAATAGTAATTACACAAGCAAATCGTTTAAAAAGTATTTAGTCTACGTTATGATTATGGGTCCGTACGTTTTAAAAATATTTCAATCCAAAAAGATTACGAATAATTAATTTTTAAGAAGAAATAAAAACAGAGTAACCATATTCAGAATATTCATAACACAACTGGCACTAAATAATAGTACTTTTTATAATAATAAAAAAAGAGAGTTTTTAATTTTAGAACAACTTCAATAAGGTATTAGGTATATACCTATATTCTTAATTAGACAACAGTTCTCGTTCCTATGTGTGACAAGCGCTTTCTTCGTCAATTCTCAACAGATTGTGGTGTTTCTTTTTTAATTAATAGTTTTGTAAATCTGTTCTCATATACGACTAAAGTCGCTTTTTGTCAAACAAAATCTGAAAATACTTAAGTATAAATTATAAAACAAATGATTTAATAATGTACTTACATGTGTGTCTAATATTCTTAATTCAATTAAATACACCCCGAGCGCCGCTACATACGGCTTTAGTCCGCTCACTGGAGGTGTGAGAATGAATTAAAAAAAATCACGTGATTGTCATTTGTCAATCGGCGATGTCTGATTGTGCGATGATAAAACAATATGTAGATAATAGACATAGAGACAGATAACTTAAAAACTCGGATAATTTAATCCACTCTGCGATTTTTTTTAATCGATGTAGTTATACGGAAGGGTGTTCCCGTCTGGGCAGCCGGCACCGGCGCGGCGGCGCACAGTGGGAACTCGCCTAAGAAAGCCATCTCATAAATACTTTTTCTAAAACTCCGTGGATATGCTTGTATAATACCTCAAATTGTAGCCAAAGAGTTACTCTATCATTATAAATATGATTCAAATCTCTGACTATTCATACTTCATAGAATAAAGCCTCTAAAGTCAAGGAATGAAAAAAATGCAAAAATAATTTTGTAACTTAAATTTGTTTGGTATAAGTTTATAGTATCAAAATAATATCAAGTCATATAGTGTGATACCATTTTAGAATGCTTAGAATGTGTACTTTACTATAAAATAAAAATATATTTAGTTTAGTCGAATATTATTTAACTAAAAATCCATATATCGTTATATGTACTATTTTCTTTTCTCAGACTTTCACTTGGAGATTTGACAGTTGCCGAAGCTTGCCGAAGTTCTAAATTTGGTTTTATTTATTAGGAAATATAATGTAATTTGATGGCACAACATTTTTTTTTTTGCAGTTTCACTGCGTAAAATATTTAAATCGAGTATAATATCATGGTGAGATTTGTTTTTTCTGAGTACGTATATTAAGATTTTTTTCTTTATTTAAGAATCTCTGTCTGAATATTCAAAAAAATACTTTTTGCTCAATTATTACTATATATTTTATCTTTTGCCTTACTTTTATCAATTATTTCACACAGTATATAGTTCCCATTCCAATACAAACCTATTCTATAGCGCATAATGATAAATATTTTTTATCAAGTAATTTTGCACGCGTATATGACCATTATTAAGTATAAAATAGTGTATGTATTTGCATATGAAATATTACAGTTCTTCATAAGCATTTGTTATTACTAAATAATTGTTAATTACTCATCTCACCCCAATGAGTGAATTCTCGTGTACCAGACGCGACTTAAGTGTCTTATTGATTTAAAGTGATACAAATTATGTTGATTCTATCTCAAACTACGAAATAATTTTACCGAATCTTCAGATGCGAATATAGCAAAAATTATCGCAAGTATTCAGAAGTCCTTCATAACTCATTTTCGTCACCGCTATACGAAATATGGTCGAAAGAAAGAACAGTTTTTAAATAAAATAGCAATTGATAGGATGGTATTTTCACTGTAAATCTAGAAAAAACTACATGCGAACCTGAACCTCCTACTTCGATAGAGAAAAGAGGAAGACATTCTAAAACGTACGAAGACAGTTCGGACAAAGAAACGGACAAACAAGGCTTGCTTGATACCTGTGGACTTCATACTGAACTCATATGTACAGGGTTTAAGGGTTTCGTCATTGATATTTTACGAGCATTGCCGGCAGAAAACTAGAATGAATTGAGCAATCTTAATGAACCGGCACATATAACAGCATATTCAAAACATTAAGCTATTAGCATTTTCATAAAATTGGATCTGTACAAGGCACAGTACGAAAATATGAGGAGTTGTTTGATAGCAAAGAATTACTTATTGTTTCCATCATACAGGTTGATTTGTGAAGCTAAAGAATCGTACTATCCGCCAAAATTGTATTTTATTTTATTTTTATTGTAATGTATAGAAATTACTAACGTTAAAGCAGAAATCAAATGTATGTACCATTTGCAGTGCAAAACCCACAGAGATGAACAATTTAGAAAAACTACAAAATAAACCTGTCGATGAAACTTCCTATCAATACGAGTATGGCCTTTCAACTTTGCATTCGTGGAACTTATTTTACATTTATCTTACAATCAATATACAAATCAATAAAAATGGTCTGCCACAACAACAGAAAATAAAGATTTAAAAAAGCAAAAGAAGGCTTATGTACAAAGAAGGTTCAGAGAAGAACTTGGATTAAATATAGATAAACCGAAGCAAGTTAGTGGCAACACTAATGACGGCAATACAGCCACAAGATTTTTCCAAAATTATCATTGTACATCAGAAATTACTAGTATATATGAGGAATTAATAAAACTGTTTTATGTTATGAAATGAAATGTGAACGTGTGATACGTTACTTTTCTGTCTTGCCTTTTGGGCAACTTTCAGAAGATGCTCAAGAGTCACGGAACAAAGACGAATGAAGCCTGAACTGTTTATAACAGTTCAGGCTTCATCATGCAAGACAATGTTCGAGGGTAGCCTCTAACAAAGATGTTCTACACGCATTTTTATACACCTCTGACCCATACATAACAAGTTTAAGAAAACCTTCCAATTAAAAATATTTAGTACTTTTTGATGAAGAAAAGGAGCTCTTGAGTGACTTGTAAGCTACCTTTATAAGAATTTTGGTTTTTTACGCTGATACTTTTACTTATTTCTGTATAAACTTCTTAGGACATAAATGTGAGTCTACAAATTCTATATTTTTTGTATTCCTAAATTATTTATAACTATTAAAACTATTTTTTTACTCACAAAGCATACATTATTTAAAAGTATATATATTTAAGATTATCAGAAAAAAAAATCATGTACATATCTTTATTAATACAGAAGTTATAGATTTATGAGATGAAAATGTGTCAAAGTTCCCACTGTGCGGCGCGGCGGGGCAACAAATGATAAGATGAGAATGTAGTCAAGACAGTTAGCCCATTGTAGCTAGCATTGTAGATCTTGTCATGATGGTCATCAGAGGGGACCTGGTGGAGGTCGACCAGGTTTGGTACATTAGACACTATCACTATGTACCTAGTTTTTTTTAGATGGATGATAATGATAATGCACCCGCCTGCGCTAACAGTTTACGTTAGCGAACACCAGGGGAAGATGATAAAACGAGTATGAAGTCAGGTCACCATGGCAAATGGTAATTTACCACGAGGGTTTCCATGGGAAAACCTACTATGTAGTATTATCTTATCTATGCTATTACTAACAATCCCCTGCAGTATTATACTACAGTATATCCTCTCCCCGGGACTGTACAGTACTGTAGTATCTTAGTAACCACTATCACATAATTTTAGGGGGAAAGGAGTGTCACTACTGTGGACTGTGTCAGGTTGGCCTCAGTTCCCCCTGGAAACCATCATGATAAATTCCTGGTGAATTTGCCACCTGAGCTAACTGACCTGACCTCATGCTCATTCTATCATCCTCCACAGTTCCCTGCCAGTGTAAACCGTTAGCGGAGGCAGGTTTACCATACCATTAGCATCTAATAAAGAGACATAAATTTATTGTCATCTAATTAAATAACTACTTATAATAAAAAAATAAATAGGCGTTAATTTTCTGAATAGATAGTAAGTACATACCTACTTCTTTTATTGAATTGGTTAGGCAGTAAAAACTGTAAATTCACCTCACTACACCCATTATTACTTTAAAAAATCACAAGTATAATTAATTAATTACATTTTCCTAATTAAATAAATAATTACATTTACCGATTTCTTAAATTAAATACATTAAATATTAAAAAACGTATCCATCACAGATCAGAGGAAGCATAAACATTCATTTCTGTAAACAATGAGTAATAAATTTTATGCTCCATTTGCGCGTCATTTCTGATAATGTAAAAAAACACATGACTATAATAAATGAAAAAAAAACAAATTGGCAAAAAGTAGATACCTACATACTAAAAAGAAGCGATGTCTGGCAAGAACGAGACAACGGATAACTAACATAAAGAGTAAAGGAAGTCCTGCGTTTTAAAATTGAGAAATATATATATGTACATTTTATGATACAAAAAAACCGGTAAAAAAATTAAACATTCAGTGATTTAAAAGTTCTTCCTTCGATTAAGTACTAATAACTTTTAAACAACACACTTTTATTGAATTACCTAAAAATAATATTGTTTTTATGAATGTTAATGTTGTTATATATAATTGTTAATAATAATGTTATGAAAACTAGATCCATAATTCATAGGTTGAATGAAACACTGAAATTACGAATTTAAGTGACTAGTGCTCAATAATGTAACGTAACAAATGCAAGTTGCCAGTATAAATAATTATATTTATTTTAGGAAAATCGAGATCAACTTGGAATTGTTAGTTACGAGCAATAGCTAACCCGTAGTGTGTGGTCGACCTCTTCGAGGTTCCCCATGGAATACACTGTGATAAATATTTGGTGTATAAGTCACAATGTGTCCTCATGATTTTCTTATTATCCTGCACTAGTGTCTCGTTAGTATATACCAGTAGCGCAGGCAACATGACATTATAATCCATTAATATAATAATAATAATGTCAGCACAATTCACACTGCGCCATCTACACCCAAGTTAAGCTACGTAAAGCTTGTGTTATGGGTGACTGATACGAATACATAGTTTTTTTTGTGCATACATATATATACATAATTATACATAGAAATCACCCAGACCGACACCAACAATCATACTTATGAATACAAATGTATGTGCCGTGCGAGGAATCGAACCCGCAATCATCGGAAGTAAGGCGGTGTGCTACACCGCTAGATCACCGAGGTCGTTAAATATAATAATTGTAATTTTAACATTTTGATTGTAGTGTGAAAACCGAAAAAAAATATAAATATAATCCTTGACACAATTTTTAATAAAATAAGGAGACTGTAAATTTTTTGATGTGGAATACATTATTTTTAAAGTTTTCCCTATTGTTAATGTTATCTACTTTTCTTCAAACTAACCAACTAATTATATATTAACAACAGTTTTATAGCATTGCCCAAACTACTAATTAATTACCTGTATCCTAAAAAGAATGTTCGTATGAAATAATTTACCTCAGCTTTCCGACACCTCATCTTTTTAATTTGATATAAGTTCTAATGTACAAATAAAAAAATTGTATTGGGGTAAAGTTTTTACAGTACTGACAACCCTTGACTTCACTTCCTAAAAAATCGAATGATAAGTATCGATAACACTATCGATACTTTCTGTTTTCTATCTCGAAGCTGTCTGTTTAATCGATATTTAACTTTTTTTAATTTAATAAAGAAAATATTAATTCAGGAATATATTTTAGCTTAACTTTGGGTTTTCTATTCTTGTATTATGTATTAGTGTTGTTTTATTTAACAATATTCTACTTTTCTGTCTAGTTTTTTTAGGCAGATTAAGTTGATATTGTTACTATCAAAATTTTAACATCGATGTATATCCACCGAACATCAATTTTTTCGAATAAAAATCATTCGTTTATTCGATACTTTTTTCTGTGTACCTGCTTTATAATTACTTTGTTTAATTTTCTTTCTTTATAACTTTGAAGGTGATTACGTGACTATATTAAAAATTGTATTTTGCGAATTATTGAAGCAGATATCTCATCGTATTCAAGAAATGGCGGATAATATTCACGAAGCTCTAAATGCAGTATCTTGGTTAGCCGGCCGGTGGTCTACGAAAGAAGGTCGTGGTTACTACCCCAATGTACCTGAATTTCAATACCACGATGACTTGGAGTTTATTTGCATCGGTAAGTTGATTTTTTTTACAACTGCGTAATTTGTAGGTTAGTTTTAGGGCATTATTTGCAAATATTTTAATAAGAAAATTTTCATGCGTATATACTATTCCAATTTACGGCATTCTTAAGTACAGTTATTACACGTGGTATGGATGTGAGAGGATTATTACTAATGGAGATTGGTTCCAGATTAATCTCCACATGGTCCTACCTCCCGGTATGATGAATAATACCTAAATCAATTGTAAATTCTTGGTTAATTAGCTATGATGAGGAGAATGAAGATGAAGTCGACCCTTTATCTTCATTCTTGTTGTAGTTTTATTTTATATGTATATAGATAAAAAGAAGGTATACAATAAGACATGGAATACTGAGATATACTTATATTAGTAAGGATTGTCAAGATATTGTAGTATATACAAGAATGTACAATACAAATTTATTTATTTATTTTCGAAAAACCAAGGCTATTTACAAACATAATTAAATCAGAACGGCTACTTACAGGATTTCACGGATAGAAACATAATATAAAATAAATTACAGTACTAACATGAGAGGCGTGTATGTATCATAAGTACTCATAAACTCATATATCAAAAAATAACAATCTAAAATAAAAAATAAATAAAAAACAAACTTTTTTAAATAATGATCTACCTTATAAATCTTAGAAATACCTTATATATCTTATAAATCAAAGAATTACCTGCTCATCATGGTCTTTGCTAAAGATATTATATCAGGAAAAAACTATAACAACAAATTAATATCTAATACCCTACTTAATCTATTGAAGTTGTTACTTGCTCGCCACATATTTAGAATAAAATATACATTTCTGATGTATTTTTTATTGTATACTGTACTAGTTAAGTATAGAATACAATAATGCTCACTGGTGAACCATCAGCATGACTTAATGCAGTTGACTACATATTTATTTATTAAAACTTTAATACACAAATACAAAAATATAGCTGCATATGGCTGACTTAACAACATGAGGCATTTTCTCCCAGATTTGCATTTATTAATAAAGAAACTTAAATACATTACTTTTAAACATGAAATTGCTTAGTAAAGAAACATTAAAGACTACCAACTGACAGAAATGAGATTGGGGTTAGACTTCCTACAAAGTTATCAGTATACAGCACATCAGAGGTACCCACCTCTGTCTTTATTTATTTTAACCCCAAGTAGCTTCCAATGATAGTTGTTATGTGAAATTACAGGATATAGAGGTATTATACCATATATATATATATAATAGCCTATGCATCTATTATAGACGATTTATGGCATAATGGTCCGTGAAGAGCTTTTTTTCGTGGCTGTATAAACCGATATGAGAACGGCATGGCCTACCACAGGCCCGACAAGGGAAACTATTATACCATAGTAGTTACAATTTAAACATATTATGAAGTATTTAGTATGAATAAACATGACATGGTATGCAGGCCTGTGCTAAAAATTTGTAAATGTATATTTCAGTAGCACTTAGATGGAGCTATTGAAATGATTTTATTTTGTTTATTGTCTTTGTCACTTAAGATTAGGCTTAAGCTTGCTCTTCAATTAATATGCTGTTATGTTAACCTATCCTCTAATTGTGTAATTATTACACTATCACATTTATACACTGTAGATTAATTAGAATAAACTAGCTACTCGCCTCGGCTTCACATGGGTGTACAAGTATTATATATAAAAACTCTCCTCTTGAATCATTCTATCTATAAAAATAGTGCTTCAAAATCCAGACAGACAGAGACAGCAACTTTGTTTTATATTATGTAATGATACTTGTCATAAGTGTCTGTAATTGACCTACATGAATCAATATATTTTGAATTTGAATGGTTTCAGAACACAATTGAATCACTGACACTACTTTTCGGCAAGGCAATGTTTAGAGCTAGTTTCAAATTGTATTAATTAGACATTCCAGATATCAATATAATTGTAAATATTCTATTATTACATCACTAACCTATACTGTATATATATGTCTTTAACACACACTAAATCGAAAATAAATTATCATTACAGGTCAACCAATGTTCAACTTCACATCAGTATCAAGACATCCCGAGAAGAATACACCGATGCACCAAGAGCGTGGCTACCTACGCATCAAACCTGGAACTAATGAACTGGCATTTGTGGTCAGTCACAATTTTGGTCTCACGTCTCTCGAAGAAGGCATAGTAGATATTGACAAGAAGGAAATTGTTTTGGAGACAGTCAACATTACAAGAATGTCATTCGCCAAACCGCCCGAAGTAAAGAAATTCAAAAGATTCATTAAATTAATAGAACCCGATACATTGGAAATAACATTGCATATGGAAACTGCAAATAATCCACTTGCAGAGCATTTGAAGGCTGTTTATAAGAAAGTTGATTAAAACGTCATGTTATATCTTGAGTTGGATATAGCTATTGTAATAAAATCTTTGTCCCCAAGGTTGGGGTACATCTTATGTTTCACAACTCAGACTTTTCGCATAGGCCTCCTACAACTCTCTCCATTGAGCTCTGTCCTATATATGATATAGTCATTATGTGAATGTAAATATATAAAATATTTACAATAATAAGGGTTTAGTAGTTGATTTCTACAGCTTACAATGTGTGAACTACAAAATTTTGTTTGCTATGGTACTCAGGGAACGCCTTCATAGTGTAACCATGTCTAAAGGTCAATATAAAATGTCGAATTTGTCAGTGGTTTAATTTTGTATTGGGAGAAATTCTAAACTATTTGAATAGGATTAAAAAATGTAAAAATATGCTCTAAATTGTTTTTTCGTAATCACTTCATCGTCTGGAAAGTGTAATGTTGTCGTAATAAAAAATATTGATTTAAAAATATTTCTACTAATCCATTGGGAGTATAAAAAGTAATGATAGGACCACTAACATTTCTGCTGTGTTTTTCGATACTAAAGTGTTGGGAAACGCAAGAAAGAATCAAGGAGTCAAATGTAGTCCTTAAAGTATGGATATTAGGTTTTTTGTAGATTTGTACAAGAATTATGTGATTTGTCGCCATTGTGTTGTCGATTTTACTTTTTGTTATTGAGAGAATTTGTAATCTTACTCGTTTTCGATATAATAGGATTAAAAAAAGTAAAAAATATGTATATTCTTTCTTAATAGTCGAGAAAGTATAGAATATAGTATCAATAAAAAATAAATTCAAGAATGTTTCTACTAACCTATTGGATGTTTAAAGTAATGGTAGGACCACTAACATTTCTGCTGTTTTTTCGATACTAGTGTTGGGAAACGGAAGAAAGGATCAAGGAGTCAAATGTAGTCCTTAACATATGGATATTAGGTTGTTTGTAGATTTCTACAAGAATTGTGTGATTTATCGCTATTGTGTTGTTGATTTTACTTTTTGTTATTGAGAAAATTTTTAATCTTATTCATATTCGATATAATAGGATTTAGAAAAATAAAGAATAGATTCTATCGTCTTTCTTCATAGTCAAGTTCCATACATAGTCTGGAAAGCATAAATAATATAGTAATAATAAAAAACCAATTGAGGAACGTTTCTACTAATCCATTGGCAGATTAGAGAGTTAAGGTAGGATCATTAACATTTTTGCTGTGTTTTTGGACACTGAAGTGTACGTACTTATTCTTGTTGTTCTTGATTTTACTTCTCTTAGTAATGGTGACACCATTATGTTGTCCATTTTACTTTTTGTCATTCGAGAGAATTTGTAATCTTATTTGTATTCGATACAATAGGACTTAAAAATATAAAAAAATATATTCTACCGTCTTTCTTCATAGTCAATACTTAGTCTGGAAAGTATAATTAATATAGTAATAATAAAAAACCAAATCTAAAACGTTTCTACTAATCCATTGGAAGTTTAGAGAGTTGTGATAGGACCACTAATATTTTGCTGTGTTTTTCGATATTATAAGTGTTGAGAAACTTGTTCTTGTTGTTCTTGAATTTAGTCAATAAATAGTCTAGAATGTATAAATTGAAGCAGTAACAAAAAAATCTATTAAAGTATGTTTCTACTAATCCATTGGAAGTTTAGGGAGTAATGGTGGACCACTAACATTCCTGCTGTGTTTTTCGACACTAAAGTGGTGGGAAACTTGATCTTGGTGTGCTTTATTTTATTTCTTTTAGTAATTTTGCTATTGAGAGAATTTGTAATCTATTCGGATTCAACATAATAGGATTTAAAAAAATAAAAAGTATAATCTACTGTCTTTCTTCATAGTCAAGTTTCATACATAGTCTAGAAAGTACAAATATTACAATAATAATAAGAAAACCAATTCGAAAATGTTTCTACTAATCTATTGGAAGTTTAGAAAGTTGTGGTAGGACCACTAACATTTTTGCTGTGGTTTACTATACTAAAATGATGGGAAACGGAAGAAAGTATCAACGAGTCAAATGTAGTCCTTAACATATGGGTATTAGGCTTCTTGTAGATTTGAACAAGAATTGTGAGATTTGTCGCCATTGTGTTGTCGATTTTCTTTTTGTTATTGAGAGAATTGTTTTTGAGAATTGCTTATTTGATATATGATTTAAAAAAATATATATATTCTACTGTCATTCTTCATAGTCAATACATAGTCTGGAAAGTATAAGTATAAGTAACACAGTAATTATAAAAAACCAATTTAAAAATGTTTCTACTAATCCATTAGAAGTTTAGGCATTAATGGTATGACTACTAACATTCCTTCTATGTTTTTTTATACTAAAGCGTTGGAAAACTTGTTCTTGGTGTTCTTGAATTTACTTCTCTTAGTAATTTTGTTATTGAGAGAATTTGTAATCTGTTTGAATTCGATATAATAGGAAAAGGAAATGTTGTCTATTATTTCTTCATAGTCAATAAATAGTCCAAAAAGTATAATGAATGCAGTAATAATAAAAAATAAATACAAAAAAGTTTCGACTAATCCATTAAAGGTTTAAGAGTTGTGGTTTTAACATTTATACTGTGTTTTTCGATACTACAGTGTTGGGAAATGGAAGAAAGAATCAAGGAGTCAAATATAGTCCTTAACGTATGGATATTAGGTTTTTTTTGTAGATTTCACAAGAATTTTGAGATTTGTCACCATTGTATTGTCGATTTTACTTTTTGTCATTGTTAGAATTTGTAATTTTTACAAATGTTACAAAAAAAATAAAAAAATATTCTACTGTCTTTCTTCGTAATATTCATAGTCTGGAAAGTATAATGAATATAGTAACAATAAAAAATAAATTCAAGAATATTTCTACTGGATTAGTAGTTTACAATTTTACAGTTGTTGGTATTTACATTTATTCTGTGTTCTTCGATTTTAAAGTGTTGAGAAGCATCAAGGAGTAGTATATGTAGTCCTTATCATATGGATATTAGGTTTTTTTTTGTAGATTTGTAATACAGTCTGGAAAGTATAAATAATACAGTAATAATAAAAAAAAGACCAATTCAAAAACGTTTCTATTAATACATTTGAAGTTCAAAGGCTTTTTGGTAGGACTAACATTTCTGCTGTGTTTTTCGATACTGAAGTTTTGGGAAACATGTTCTTGTTGTTATTGAGTTTGGTTCTCTTCGTAATTTTGTTATTGAGAGAATTTGTAACTTATTTAAATTTGATATTATGGTATTTATGATTTGATAAAAGGTAAAAACATGTTGTGTATTCTCTCTTCATGGTCAATAAATAAACTAGAAAGTATAATGAATGCAGTAACAATAAAAAATAAATTCAAAAATGTTTCAACTAATCCATAAAGTTTAACAGTTGTAGTATTAACATTCATACTGTGTTCTTCGTTATTAAAGGGTTGAGAAACGGAAGAAAGCATCAAGGAGTCAAATATAGTCCTTAACATATGGATATTAGGTTATTTGTAGATTTGTACAAGAATTGTGCGATTTGTCGCCATTGTGTTGTCGATTTTACTTTTTGTTATTGAGAGAATTTGTAATCTTACTCGTTTTCCATATAATAGGATTTAAAAAAATATATGTATATGTATTCTGTCTTTCTTTATAGTCAATACATAGTCTAGAAAGTATAATGAATATAGTAACAATAAAAAATTAAATTCAATAATGTTTCTACTAAACCATTGGAAATTTAGAGAGTCGTGGTGTTAACAATAACATTTATGCGGTGTTCTTCGATACTGAAGTGTTTAGAAACTGAAGAAAGCATCAAGAAGCCAAATGTAGGCTGTTACATAAGAATATTAGGTTTTCTGTAGACTTGTACAAGGATTATGTGATTTGTCACCATTGTGTTGTTGATTTTACTTCTCTTAATAATTTTGTTATTGAGAGAATTTGTAATCTATTCAGCATAATAGGATTTAAAAAGTTTCAAACATGTTGTGTATTCTCTCTTCATAGTCAAAAAATAAACTAGAAAGTATAATGAATGCAGTAACAATAAAAAATAAATTCAAAAATATTTCGACTAATCCATTTAAAGTTGATTTGTGGTTTTAACATTTATACTGTGTTCTTCGATATTAAAGTGGTGAGAAATGAAAGAAAGAATCAAGGAGTCAAATGTAGTTCTTAACATATGCATATTAGGTCTCTTGTAACTTTGTACAAGAATTGTGTGATTTGTCGCCATTGTGTTGTGGATTTTAGTTTTTGTTATTGAGAGAATTTGTAATCTTTTATTTTTTAGAATTTGTGATTCAATATTTAAAAAGGTAATAATCATATTATATATTCATTCTTTATAGCCAATCCAGAGAATGTATAAATTGATGCAGTAACAATAAAAAAATATTAAAGAATGTTTCTAGTAATCCATTGGAAGTTTAGAGAGTTGTGGTAGGATCACTAACTTTATGCTGTTCTTTGATATTAAATCGTTAGGAAACGGAAAAAAGAATCTGAAGCGGAGGTATGTGATGTGTCTGATGAGTGAGAGGTACTGAGAGTTTTATGAGGAAAATTACGGAGATATAGAAAATGCGATTGATATGACAGCGATATATAATAGAATGTAACAAAAATAATATGTCAAAAAAAAATCAAAAATAATATAAAAACCTATCAAGGAGTTCGCTACATAATCAAGGAGCCTAGTGTAGTCATTTATATATAGATATTACGTTATTTGTTTAAGAATTTTGTGATTTGTCGACATTGTGTTCTTGATTTTACTTCTCTTAGCTCGTTCATTATAAGCGTTTTTGAACGACTTCATAAAAGACTGGTCTAACGGTTGTAACTTATGTGTAGTATGCGGTGGGGTGCTAATCAAGAAAATGGTGATTCTTTCGTCGGTCTAATAAATTTCACAAAGTGTAACAACCATTTTGAAAATATTTCATTATTCATCCATCCCTTAGGCTGAGCTACAGCTTCACTTTCTGGTAATGCATTAATTATTAGACGCTCGTTTATTCTTTGTCGGGGAAATATGAAAAAAGGGGGAATAAATTGTCCTCTGCTAATGTTAATTTTCCAACTTGTCTTATACTTTTTGCTGCTATAACTTTCTCATGTTTCTACACAGATGTGACCTCTGTTTCTATCTCAATTAAAAATATTCGATTTACGATAGTTATGTTTATTAATAAGTTTTTCTAAATTTACAAAGAACATATCAACTTGGGGTTTATTAAAGCCAACAGCACGCATTAAACTCGTAGATTCTGCTGTTCTTAAACTTAATTTAGGATGTCTTTTCATGGATTTATCATAAAAATGCTTTCCAGCAATATTTTTTGTCATTGTTAAAGCGATGTGGTAATTTGTGATTGTCAGCTAAGCTTTAAAAACTCGTAACTCTTAGATAGAGGCATGCAACGGTTAGCTAAATATTCAACGTGATCTTCCAGCAATTTCTCATATTTTTCTGAGAATGTTTTCTTAAAGCGCCCCATAACAGGTCTTAGAGCAGCTTCTTTACCCTAATTCAATATTTTTACTATGTCAAACAAAGTGCTTTTTGATATACCAAAAAGTGTTCAGAAGCTTCTCTAATTGTATTTTTTTAATACGTTGTCAATTGCTAATTTTAAATAATTTGGGCTCCAAATACCTTTTTTATTCTTCTCCATTATGTCAAATAATCTGAAAAGATAAATAGTAGAGTTACAAAGAATGTAACAAAGAACAACCACATTATTTTGCCAAAATATACTTGTCCGATACTCGGGACTTTGGTCTTGTACGGACGTAGGGACAGATCGTGCAGTAGTAAAACTTAGATTACAATAAAGTTTGTTAATATATCCGTCAAAAAAGTATATCAATGTAAAGCGTACTTACCAATGATTGAACCACAAGCACTACACTTATTTTATTCACGCTTAGTGGTGGTTTATGATGTTGCTAATATTATTCGATACGAAGTATTCTCGCCCAAAATTTGTAACGTATCAGACGAGACTGACGCCTCTCGCGCTGCGGGGGATTTCCGTCAGTTGAGTTCTAGATCTTTCCCTACACGAGCGCTAATAAGAGCAATATTTCATGTTTCGACGTGTTTTGTCCGGTACTACCTGCCGTCCGGTGTTAGGGGGATACCCCCTATATGTCAAATAAATAAAGTAGTATGGAGGTGTAATAAGGATTAGGAATGGCAGCACAAGATCATAAGTGTTTACAGTGTAGTCTTTGTTGTTAATGATGCAAGTTCATAGCCGGTGACAGTTGCCATTTTTCAACTGGCCAGCCAGTATATCTATAATTCTAAATTATATATAACGAAACTTTCTATATATTTGTAGCTCCTCCGATCGATCCCCCGTCTAATTCAAACGGGGATCGATATTACTACGGCCTGAGTCGAGGTTTGAACCCCTAGACGTGCCCTCCGATTAAAGTCGTATCCGTCAGACGGTCTCTAAGTCTGCGAGTTTGGAGGGCCATCTGCACTCGTACCCCTATCGTTCTGTGAAGCTGTAAAGGCCAGTTGCGG